AGATAGGATGGGTGTATGATTGATGGGACGAAAATCTTTAACCTCGTGGGCAGCGCCACTTTATATCGCGGGATAACAATAGAAGTTTTCCATTGAGTAGAGTATACTCCGTTGTTAAAAAAGAGTGTAAAGAGGTTGAGCGAAAGCAGAAGGAAGTCACTACTACAGCTTTTTATTAAACATGGGGGAATCCCATCAGGGCCTCGCAGGTTGAGGAGTATGAGCGAGCGACTTGACCTGTGATTTTCGCTATAGTGAATTCGACTGTGTATAGACCTTCATTATTGTGCGGCATGATAAATGTTGGTGTATCTGATGATTCATGCATCATATGAAGCCCCATAGCGGACTTCAAATCAATGACCGTGGCTAATGTGGGAAGTTTAGGCATTTGAACATAGCCGTGTCTTGCTAACGTGTCTTTTACGTTGGCTGAGTATCCATTGTTGATAAGGTAAATCGGATTGCGTGGGGTATTGATGAGGCACAGGTCTGGGCCCCAAGCACAAAACGATACAAACGCAGAATGTGTTCGTGTCAGATATGGTGAGAACCATTTAGTCTGCGACTGCAATCCGAAGGCATGCACTTTTCAGCACGCCCCGCATTAATCAGTCTACCGCACGCTCCAGTGGTAGATTTGTGTCAATGTATAGTACGGAGAGATACATGATATTGACTGGACGGAGAGAGGTGATTGCGGATGCCGTGAAGAAGCAATGCGGACTGTCGATCAAGCAACGCTACTCATCGTTCGTGCGCAAGAACGCAAATCAGCAGTGAACTTGAGATCTAATGGCAAGGTGAGGAGACCGAAGAAGCAAATGCGCTAACATGGCTAACGTTTTCGGCTGATTCTGATAAGTGACAAGTCAAGGAGGAACTATTTAAGATAACATCCTGAAGAGACAAACACCGCTCAGAAAGAAGGTATCTGATAAAGGTGTTTAGTATATTGTTGGAGGATGGTTTGGCGAATAACCTCCTCGTGGTGCCATCTGGGGGGCTCGGGATTTTCCCGTTCCAGCGAATGGTTCGTCGACAGTGTTCCAGGACGTGGTGGGTTTTCGCCTAGCAAGCGCTCTCCTTACAAATAGCCACATATGTCCGTTTAGCAACACTGCAACTTGGCGGATGTGAATTACCACTATATAAAGTCACTGCTTCTTGCTTCAATCCAGTGGAGAATCATATTTCATCCGCCAAGATGCTGTCATCATGGTGAGGATTAAGCCCCTGTTTGGTACTTGACCAGACGAAAAGCTTAGGAACCGAGTAATCGGTCACCGGGTTCCAATGGGCATAATTCTCTGAATTCGTCCCACTGCCTTGCTGGTAGGCTATTGAGCCAAAGGCACGGTGTGGGAGCCCCGTAAGACAAACACCTACTTCGGCTTAGGCAACCGCGTAGAATCTCCCCTATTGATGAATCATGGAAGTGAACTGCACTCTTCGCTCTACTGATGCTTTGCTCTCATGCTACTACGGCAGACACTCTTCCATCACAAGCCGCTCGCCTTTCTACTCTTCCCCTGTATTATTCTTCCCCGGTTTTGTCTGATTAATCAACGATGAGCAGCATTGTTTCCTCCGATATCACTGTTGTCGCTCCATTCTCTGACGCAATCATACAGCGCAAAACCGGGATTGAACAGTCCCGGATTCGCACCTCTCCGCTTCTGCAACCAAATACACAGTTCAACCTGACGGCGTCAATGTGCGCACCTTAAAACAGATTGGGCAACAAGCCGGTTTCGCGCGTACTATAAAACTCGTGCAAATAATATCTGTTGTTTGTCCGAAACACGACTTCAGGATTTCAGGATAGTCTACACATTGTCGTCACCAACTCACATTTATACCTGTTTCCACCTACGACTTTCTGGAGACGCCGAGGCTACCGCTTCTGCGCAAGCTGATGTTGGGGTCGCCCTTAATGCCAGAGCCGAAGCCGCCCTTCTCGAATGGATTCCGATCAACAGTCGCCTTTGGGCTGTCACGCTCCCTGGCTCGTGCAAGGTTAATAGGCGTCGAGAAGACAAACGTGCTCTTTTTGTAATCTCCGCCTAAGCTCCCACTGACTGTAGCCCAGATACCGTCAAGGACCAATTCTATGAGAACCGTTTTGATTTGCTCTTAAGAGCCCCCAAAACGGACATCATTATTATAGCGGGGGATTTCAACTCGCGTGTTGGTCGTTTGTTACCAAGCAAACGCCATCTTAAAGGTCCGCACGGATACGACGACTTTCGCTCAAACAATGGAGAAAGACTATTCAGTTTATGTGCCGTCCACAAACTGTACCTCTCCAGCGCGAACTTTCGTCACCCTGGACTTCACTACACTAACTGGCGCGCACCATCATCCCCTCAAAGTTGGTCCCAGATTGACCACATCGCCATAAGTCATCGCTGACGTGGCAGTATTCGGCACTGCAGATCCTACTGGTCAATATGCGTGGAAACTGAGGATGCCCTAGTGCGTGCGTCGGTTTGCGTGCGTTTCGGTGGTTCGCCTAGGACTAGACAACCTCGATTTAACTCTGGTAAACTGGAAGACCCATCCGTGCAATTGGAATACCAAAAGCAGCTTCGTGAGAACCCCACTTCTCCGCCTCCTCGGGACGTTGATCAGCATTGGTCGCGATTGTAACAGATTATGTTTTCAACGGGTTTATCCAGTTGCGGTTTCGTTCGCTGCACAACTAAAAGTTGGATCCCAGCCACCTCCACGAAACTTCTCGACTATCGGCGAGCTATACCCGTCAGTGTGGAGCACACTGAGCTCCGCCGTTCTATTTCTAGACAACTGAAAGCGAGTCTTCGCCGTGACTGTGAATCCTGGTGGTCTAAACAAGCCAAGGAAATGGAAGTTGCTGCCTCTGCTGGTAATAGCCGCAGGTTGTTTTATCTCATCAGGTCCACCGGACGCAAAGGTCAGGCCATCAAGCAGACCATCTGTGAGTCAGACGGTACAAAGATCACCAAACTACGCAGACGTCTAGATCGCTGGGCAGAGCACTTTGCTCTACAGTTTAATAGCCCAACACAACCTTAGGTTACACATCCACTGCGATCATGTGATCCTTGGTCAGTCTGCATAGATCCTCCCACTGAAGCAGAAATACGGAGAGAAATCCAGACGCTCAGACGTCACAAAGCTTCTGGTCATGACAGTCTTCCTCCGGCCTTAGTTGAAGATGTGGAGAACCTAGTTGTCACCGAAATGCTATCACTGTTCACAAAAGTATGGAGCGATGAGAAGGTTTCTAACTCAGGGGAGAATCGGTTGTGGTTCCGATTCACATGAAGGGTTCTCGTAGTGAATCCATAAAATACCGAGGAATCTTTTTGTCGCATCCAAGCTTTGTGTGTCCATTCTGCTGCGTAGCCTCTCAGTTACGCGCGAGAGTTTGTGTCGTGAAGAACAGGCTAGCTTTCGTTCTGGCCGTAGTTGCATTTACCAAAGTTTGAGGCTGCGTCAGATTTTCGAACATCGTCATGTCCACCGAAGACAAAAAAGGTGGTGTTTTTGGATATCGAGCCGCTTTTGATTCAGTAGATAGGTCGTCATTGTCAAACTGTCTGATATGGAACGGCGTTCCTGACAAGTGTGTCATACTCTTGAAAGAGCTGTATAGTCACACCTGGCAAAAGTTAGAGCTTATGGCAGGCTTTTTTCTTCGTTTCGTATTACCAGTGGAGTGCGCCAACGTTGTCCTATCTCGCCGTTGCTGTTCAGCTTTGCCATCGAAGATGTCCTACATCGCGCACTGGAAGGAGCCCAGAGCTGCAGCGTTGAGCTTCTACCCGGGAGCAGAGTCGTGGACTTGGACTATGCTGATGACATCGCTTTGCTAAGGGACGACCCGCAGGTTGTTCAAAACATTCGGAACCGCTTAGCAATAGAGGCATCTAAGTATGGTATTTTGCTACATTTAAGTGTAAAGCTTTGCTCCAGGATTGGCAGGCTCCTGTGTCTACGCTCACCATTTGAAGTGTCAGCCTGGAGCTCGTTAACAGCTTTGCTTACCTCGGGAGTTGTATTACGGGTGGTGGCGGGATTTGCGATGAAATTTCAAGACGAACTGCCAAAGCTCGCTTTGCATTGACTAACCTGAGTCCCTTGTGGCGTCGTCGCGATGTCAGTCTCAAGCTCAAAGGTCGAGCGTACAATGCCACAGTTCGTACTGTCATACTGCACGGCTGTGATACCTGGTCTGTTCGATCGGAAGATTTGAGACAACTGCCTACTTTCGACAATCGCTGCTTGCGTTCGATTGCTTGCGTATGGTGGCAGCACCATGTGAGCAACGCGGAAGTTAGAAGCATAATCATGGAAGCGGACAGTTCTGCTCTCCAGAGTATAATCATCCAGCACTGCTTTCGTTGCCTCGATCGTGTACTGCGCATACCGGTCCACCGCCTTCCATGTCGCGCATTATTGGCACTTCCTGGACGCGAATGGAAAAAGAGCCGCGGCAGACAACCGATGACCTAGAAAAGGAGTATGAAGATTCTAACTTCGTGTCTAACATCAGTTGGATCCGTGCGTCTCTCAGGCTGGGGACCACGTGAAGCGGATTCCAAATGGTTGGAAGTCTTGGAGGATATGGCCCGCAATAGGAGTCAATGACGTCAATGCTGTTCTACCATCTCTTCATCCTGTACTTTTTAATGTTGAACAAAACATGAAAACAACAAACTCAAAACGGCGTGTGTGAAACTGTAAAAAACATTTTTCAACGTTTTACTCTCTCTCCTCGTTGAACATTATATTCTCCTTTCCCTACCACCATGGTTCGGATGGCACATTTGTCTGTTTACAGACTTGTGAATATATATATATATATATATATATATATATATATATATATATATATATATATATATATATATATATATAAAGTTGGATGTGGAACAGTGGCACGTGTGACAAAACGGTAGACAACTATCTTGGTCGACAAACACAATCAAGATGCATTCGTAACACAAACTCACATCAGCGCCGTTGAGGAGAAGGAATTCGCAAGCAGCCAAAGAACCACTTCTGACGGCCCAAATCAACGGGGGATAACACTGATGACGCGATCCAAAACGCGATGCATACTGAACTGAATCTGGATGAGCCCCAGCCGCCAGGCCAGCGAGCATCAGAGGAGGACATCCGAGGCGGGCGCCAACACAAAGCAAACTGGAAGCTGCCACTTCCTGTTCTTCGGTGCGCAGAAGTGTCGACCGACGAGATGTACGATCGCTGATGGAGGCGGTCTGCTCTTGTAGACGGACGATGGTTTCGCACAGTTCCGCTGATAATCGAAAAGGAAGAGAGGACTAAACACTAATGAAAGCTGAGAGATAGAATCTATCAGTAGTGGATGTTGGCAGTAAAAGTTACATGTTGGAACAATACCACGTGAAGCAGATTTGATGAGTAAGACGCTGTAGTTGGGAATAATCCGTGACTTGTAACGAGGCAGAGCGTTGCTCTACTTCGATACAAGCAGTTTACGGATCGCGTAGTTAATGGTCACCAACCTAACAGAAGACGTGATCGCAGTGTGTCCAAGCGACAAGTGCAGTAAACAGTTCAGGACAGGCGATAGTTTACCATAAAGCCGCTTAGCTGAAACAATGCTCAGGTGAAGCGAAACAAGAAATTTGAAAAAAATACCCTTTAAACTACCAGATGGTGTAGTCCAAATGGACAAGAAAACCAAAACTCCGTTGTCAGTGTGAGGAAAGCCACACACTCATATGATCATTATGTTGACTAACCAGACGGCAGAGGCCATTTCATTAACCCTAGAAAGCTTGCTGGGTACTATTGAATGTAAAAACGTATACGGTTTAGCCATCGAGGTAAGAGCGATACAGGTACATGACAAGAGATTGGTTGTTCTAAAAGTCCATGACGTTTTCGGAGGTAACAGCTGTACCTACTATGAATCGGTGATAAATCTATAGCGACAGTAGCCCGGCCCCAGGCTGGATACATAAACCCACTATTCACATGCTATCGTCGAACAGTCACGGAAATGGGTTAACTGTATTTGTTACATAAGCAATTTATACTAGACGAGAGAGGAAAGGTTACATTGATGAGTGCCAAAAATTGGAGTGTCAACTGCAGTCGGAGAGCTATCTTTGCCCGATAACGGCGCTCCGCTCCAAAGCTTCTTGTAATAAAACCCTGATGGCGCGGCGAACTCTCCCCCTGGCGTAGCCAAATCATTTCTAACGGCGTATTTGTCACGGAATCAGTATTAAGGAGAAAGCGCGTCATTGTTCTGGTAAGTGCTAGGCGCTGCTTGTTCGAAACCGAATTCGTAAATGTCTGCATTCGACCGGCTGCGAAGTGGTGACATCCAGCCTACGTCCAATCCCTCCTTCAACGGAATTGCAAAACAAGTAGCGAGCCGGTCATGTTGTAGGCAGGCTGACGAGCAACGTCTAAGGTTTATCTGATTCAGATACTATCACAGCGAACGAGTTGACTAAGGTTCGCTTGAACAACAAACGAGATCCAGACCGAAACTGCGTGTAATAACCCATTTACAGTATAAATGTTTCAAAATGATTTCTCGGTGAAATTACTGATCAGTTTAACGAGATAATGAATTTATACATAAGTAGGCAGGTTACAGCGTGTAATATACACACGTTTTGATCCAACGGTCCGTGGGAACACATAATCGCGATGTCGAGAAATATACTATTTGTTTATTCAGAAAGTCACATTGTAATATCGATGCAAATGTATTTCCATTGGAAGGTGAGCTGCGGTTCAGAACAGTTATACAAAACATCACTATGTTGCAAATAAGTCTGGAAACAGCTGTTAACCATGCTCGGAGAATGTATCAGTCTGTGAATGGTCCGTGCGGGGTAAAAAAAACGACCTTTCACCTCCCTGATTGTGGCAGCGAGTCAATATATCCTGCGGTACACCAGCCGATTACAGATAGGCGTGCGCTGTCCACGACAAGGTCTCAAAAAAATGTGAGTCACCAGTACGATGGAACAGCTGTTTTGGCAGCAGTTTTCCATGAGGTGAATTTTCTTCGTACACTACCGACTATTCAAGACAAAGCATAAAAATAGGACAAAATAAGATATACAGAAGCACAGAACTAGAAAGTGGACAGCTTTACAGGCATTGTTGTGGCAGGAGAATTCACACGGTTCTAAGATATTCACACTATGATACACCGGAATGCACCGGTAAGCCAGGGTTTAACATGCCACAAGCAGCCAAGGGACCAAGTTGTTCCAAATGTGAGCATAGAGGAGATGCTCGAAAACGTGACTACCTACAGAGTTGACTGTCACCTTGAAGAGACCAGACAGACCAGTTCAATGACTTGTCGCTGTGTACACTAAACGAACAGCTTTCAGACATGCAGCATGGTTCGTAGTAATGACAAGGGAAGAAAGCGAGCAATTATGTCACAATCAGAGTTCATAAGCAGCCGCATTTGTAAAGCCAGCCGACCTACATCTCAAATAGACACATCGCAAATCCGCCATCCACTGATCAAGAAGATCAGTAACCGATGAAAAATAGACTGAAACGACTTCGCACAGGAGAAACTGGGCTACGAAGATTCGGGTTACAATGAGTCATGTGAAGTTGGAGACCGGATTGCTAACAAAAGTGATCGCGCACATATGATGTTTCCTGACCGCAAGGAATCACATGATTGAAAAGAAATCGATTTCAGTACGTTAGCTAAGCGTAACGTATTGGCAAATCCACGACACAAGCAGTCAGTAGTGCGGCGCTAAACAGAGCGAGTAGAAAACAGTTCAGAGGAGTGAAAATATTTTAATGCATTTGTTCCAGCAGCTAACAAGCCAATGACGAGCCCCAATAGGGTGAAACGCGTCTGGTGCTTTTCCGGACCAGGCGGTGCTATGTAACTTGTGAGCTTTTGGGATGAATACATTAAATTCCAACTAAAATCCTGCTACTCATGAATAAAAATGTTGTCCGAAGTTGATTTCACTGCGCACTTAGTGAGGCCTTGTCAGTTTGCGAAAAATCAACTGGAAAGAAGGCATCTAAATAATAAAGGAGTCGGAGTAAGTGACAGAAGGACAAGGGGGGCGATAGTAAACGTAAACACAACAGCCTCAGACCAGAAGGTGGCAGAACTTGGTGAGAAAAGAGCATCAATGTAAGCGAACCACAACGCAGTGCATTCACGAAAAATTGGAACCAGAATAACAACCAACTGGAACCCGTTTAGAGAGGAAGTGTGTTTGAGTTACGATTACTAGGAAATGAAGCGACACTAAGTTTAGCTGGAGGCCCACTCCGACCATCAAATAGCCACTATAGTATTTGACGCAGATCATAACTCGTAAGAGAAGTGAACGTTGTTTCTTTACTGATCTGGGGAAAAATCATGAATCACCAGAAAGCAGCTATTAAAATAGTACGACAACGAACATAATAATCGAGGATCTTCGAGAATTATAATCCTCAATGATTCGAACTGACGCCTGGCAGTCATACGAGTCTTAGAAAAAATACCATTGTAAACAAAAAGCTAGCTATCTTTAAAAAATAACGTAGTATCGGTGGGATTCGACAGCAGCAATCTTCTGCAGGCAAAGACAATCAAACAATTGAGCATGCCGAAGACGACAAGTCTCACCTCCGCAAAAAAGAAAAGTTCTCAAGAGACCACAATCATCAACAACAAAAGCACATCAGCCATCTGAACTAATACTTCGCCGCCGTACAACAACAACGATCTACGGAACGACGACAAACAAGACGGAGAGTAGTGCGACCTTACGTAAAACGTTAATGCCAAAACAAATATTCAGGGGCAAGGTGACTACAGCATATGTCAAAAACATACCGTCACGAACAACTCACTATCGAGCAAACGTGGCATAGGTGAGATAGTTTCCTTGCGGCTTTCATTCCACGGCGTCATAATCACTCCGCAGATAACTCAGCACCAAACACACCTCAAGCAGACAATTCGACTATGAGACGACCGCAGACGCGCCACTGATGTCGATCACGAGCCATGTCCTGTAACGTCTCGAACCAAGCACTAAGCCGGTCACGGGGACTAGTCTGGAAAGCGAGACGAATCAACTGCACCAAGTTGTGTAGTCAGTGACTGTATTTCCCGCTGCCAAGTTAAGGTTTGCCAACCTCAGGTCTTGCGCCACCCTACATCTGGCAACTAAACAAGGCCCTCCTAGGTAAGCGGTGACCAGGCATTCGTAGTACGTCCCAAAGCCAACGCAGCCTATTCAATGCTATCTGTTGTTCTTGGCAAGTAGCTTGCTTATCACTACCTAGCACTGCCCTACGCATTTCATCGTTGCAGACACGCTGGTGCCACTCGACACTAGCAATACTTCACAGACAGGGTTGATCAAAGACTTGAAGGCGCCTCAGAGCTTCATATCGGAGGGGCCAAGTCCCATATTTCACGGGAACACTTTATCGCACAAGTATTTTGAACAGAATGCACCAATCGACCGAGTCGAACGCACTACTGAAGTCGAAGAACACAGCTATTGTCTATCGGCAATACGTGTAGTACCGTTCCAGCATCTGCCGAGGAGGGAATGTGTGGTCTTTACAGCCCCGTCTTGGACGGAAACCTGCCTGCTCTTCTCTAATCCGGGATTCTTGTTCCGCAGGGCGACGAACGAGAACCGACGCCAGTAGGTTTTGACAGCCGGAGTTAGGCTAATACTCCTTTGGTTAGCATAGTCGATGCGACTGCTTTTCCTGCATACTGTCACTATAATCGATTCACTCCAGTTTGCCCTGATAGTCTCCTACTCCCAGACCTGTTCAAACAGGGAGGTCAGTGGTTTGCAGAGCTCATCGCGACAATCTTTGTATAGTGTGGTTGCGAGAGAATTCGGCCCTATGGCATAAAAACGATTAAGGACTGTGATAGTGTTTCGGACATCAACCTCCGACGGAGCCTCTAAACTAACCGTCCATGGCTCACCTGCAGCAGCTGTGTAAAAAGGATTCCGGAAGCATGGGGCCAACTCAATGCTCTCGAAATCGCTCCACCCGACGAGCAATACGGCGCTCCATATTGTGACTGTTATCTTCCATGATACTATGATGTAGATCAGTCAAAAGAGCTTGACAAAAGAACTTCCTTGTCAGTACACAGACTCCGCTTTAATTCGCGACTAATAGTCCGCCTTGTTACATTGTGCTCAGAGCCATCCGAGAATTTCCTTCTGGCTTCTTACAGTTGTACTGACCTCTCGGATATCCGGTGACTGATTCAGCAACGATTGATAGTACATC